TCATTCCATGTCAAATCAACACAGCCTTCACTTCTGTGAAACCCATGTACTCAGATTGATTCATAACTTTGGTCAGGTAGTCCCTTTTATAGTTTGAAAATACACAGAAAATTTCAGCTCAGTACCTTGTATTGTTTCCGAGTTATGAGATGTTACATATTGATGACCACACCCTTATGCGAAGAAAGCCACCGCCCATTTTTTACAAGAAATGGCTGTAGAATAATGGTCTGCAATCAAGTACTATACTTAAGATCCTGTTGAAATTATGCAATCTGATGGAACTTGCTATGGAGATTCCAAATATCACATGCAAAATTCTGTAAACCTCACAGTTATCATTCTACAGCTGATTTAAATTGAAATAGTTGGTTAAAATTTTTTCGCAAACATTGCATTCTTTAAGTGTAAATAGCCAAAATGGGTCCAAACAGATCATAATGAAATTTGACATGAATCAAGTTGACATTATGCTTAAACAGACTATGAAGTTTGGTGATGGTGTTCTGTGTGCTTTTAAAGATACAAAGGGTTTGAAAAATAGGTTTATTGTGTTTTTTGTGCACAGACGCTGACATACTGCTATGTTTCAAATACACATAATAATTAGCACTAATTTATATTTATATCTCAGTTATTAAGAGGCATATTTTGTTGTAGCTTTAAAGCAAGCAGAACCCCAATAATAAAAGTATAAAGAGGGTAGGATGACCCTGTAAAATATGGCTTAGTTTTCCTTGTGTAGATTTACAAAGAATAGAAATGAATAACAAGCATAATTCACATATATTTGTGTATGAAAGTTCAGGGTCTGTCCATATTTTTTCCTACAACAAACAATTAAAAGGGGGTACAGATGGCATTGTAGAAAGCTTTGAATTTGGATATGGCTTGTCTTCATCATTAATGTTACTATTATCATGTAAGAAACAATTTCACTCTCTCAGCTTTGCAATAAACTAGCCTATGGCTAATCTACTCAAACAGGATATTCAGAGAATACAACACACGTTGAAAAGGAAAAAGATAAATAAAATCATAGAAAACTTATTGGAATTCCCTGTGCCACCTTGCCTGTTTTGGTACAATATCAATGCATAAACTAATCTGATAAACTTTATCACAGGAACTTACCAGTATTGTAAAAGGGTGCCCTGTTTTATGTAAACATTGTTGCTAGGCAGATTATTTACAAGAGGAAATGGGGTGTGATGTCATACCCATAGGATGAATGGATTGTTGACAGCTATTGATGAGAAGCAAGCTGAGAGGCAAGTCAGGGCATGAATTTGTCACATTTTGTTAGAATTTATATGGAAATGATGCAATGGCCAAGTTTAGTTTCAGATCTGAAGGTGTCATGTGTCATGTGTTATGATGTAATTATACCTAAATTTAGCTGCCTGAAACTATAAAACCCATGCTTGCTAAGTCATAAAGTCAGATTCTGAGAAGTGGAAACAGCAAACTATGGTAAATTTTGGCCAGTTTTAACACTGCATATTGAATTAAATGGAAGCTTCAAAGGAAACCTGCTCAATTGGGTATCATCTGAAGGACCCCTGTCATAAGCTTACATTTATCAAGTTGAAAGGTTTAAAAGAAATTGATACTCTTGATGATATTTCAAAGGAGACTCTTATCTTACGAACGAATTTTGTTGAAAATATAACAGGCCATAACATATGTCTACACCATGAACAAAAGCTGCTCAACAAGTTCCACCTTGGGCAAAAAAAATGCTGCAACCCTTTGGAAAAAGACAGCCATAAAGGAAAAGGGTCATTGCGTGAGGTCACTTTAGAGATGGCAAAAAAACTCAAAGAGAGGAAAATATCAATTGTTCCAGGCAAGAAAATTTGTCCCAGCTGCCGTAAAGATATTAATGAAACATTGATTGATGAACATGAAGAAGCTCTGCCACATTCGGATGAAGAGGTACTTGACTTTGAAGCAAATTTAGATGGTGACAGAAACAGAGAGATCTTGAATTCATCTCTAATTGAAGAAGACATCAGCCCTTTAAAATTACATGCTGTCGCATCTCATTCAAGAGTTGCCCACGGAAAGAGAAAGATAGCTCAGGTTCAATCTAGATTCAGACAAAAACAGCTGGATCTGCAAATTACAATGGCAAAGGCTATAGATGTCGAGCCTAGAGAATTGGATCTAAGTTCAGAGGAGGAAAAGACACTAACCGAAACTGAACAGAAAGCAAAAGATTTTGATGTCTTGCTTTTTCTAATGAAAGAGAAGATAAGGGCCTCATCTCGAAAAGAAATAATAAAAATTTTGACCCTGACACCAAAATCTTGGTCAATACGGAAGACTGCTGACTTTTTCAATGTATCAAATTATCTAGTTAGAAGTGCATTTAAATTAAGAAAAGAGAAGGGCATCTTATCAGAACCACAAACGAAGAGGGGGAAATGTTTACCAAATGAAATTATCCAGCTTGTTGAAAACTTTTACTGTGATGATGAGTTTAGTCGGCAGATGCCAGGAAAGAAAGATTACGTTAGCATTTCACGAGGGGTACATCGACAAAAAAGACTGATCATGATGAATCTGAATGAACTTTATGCTGTCTTTAAAACTAAGTTTCCAGAGGTAAAGATAGGGTTCTCCAAGTTCTGCATGTTGAGACCCAAGTGGTGTGTCACAGTTGGGTCTTCAGGTGCTCACTCAGTCTGTGTTTGTTCAATTCATCAGAATGTAAAGCTGCTACTGAAGGCAGTAGATTTGGAACAATCTTATCATGAACTTACTGAAATGATTGTGTGCAACAGAAACAACAGGGAGTGTATGATACATCGGTGTGTTAATTGTCCAGGAACAAGATGTTTAAAAGATTACCTGATAAGAACATTAAAAGGAGAATTCGAAGAAGACAGTTACAACAGTGACACCATGATGTGTGAAGCAGAGACAGGTAAGGACAGTGAGCAGGTAGCTGGATTGCAAAGAGATGATTTTTCTGAAGAGGAGCAAATAATTTTTAATCAATGGTGCAGTACTGACAGAACTGAAATGATTAAACAAACAGCTACTGTTGATGATTTTATTGATTTACTTGTGGAAAAGCTTGATAACATCACAAAGCATTCCTTCATTGCAAAAAAACAGGCTGAATATCTAAAGGAAAGAAAAACAAATTTGAAAGAAGATGAAGTAATTGCTATTCTTGATTTTGCTGAAAACTATCAATTTATTGTTCAAGACGAAGTACAAGGATTCCATTGGAATAAATCACAATGCACATTGCACCCTGTTGTTCTTTACACCAAAGAAAATCTTGATTTGGTATCTGAATCCTTGTGTTTTATCTCTGATGATCTAGATCATGATGTTGGCCTGGTGTATTTTATAATTCAAGAAACAGTCAAATACATAAAAGCACAAAAAACAAACTTTAATAGAATTGAATACTTTTCAGACGGTTGTGCAGCTCAGTATAAGAACTGCAAAAATTTTGTAAATATTTGCCATCACTATTCAGATTTTGGTTCCACATGCTGTTGGTCATTCTTTGCAACAAGTCATGGCAAGTCAGCTTGCGATGGACTGGGTGGCACAGTAAAAAGAATTGCAACAAGAGCAAGCTTGCAAAGAGCATATGATAACCAAATTTTAACAGCGAATCAACTGTTTCATTTCTGCCAAAGTGAGGTTAATGGGATAAAGTTTTTATTTGTGGAAAAGGAGAATTCAGATGTAGTTCGACAAGAATTGAAACCAAGATTTGAAATGGCTAAAACTGTACCTGGAACAAGGTCATATCATCATATTTTTCCTTTGTCCAAGACATGCATTGGAACAAAGCTAACATGCTCAGATAAAGAATTTTCATCAAAATTCGATTTTCTTATAAATTTTGGCTTCAGAAAGGTTTCAACTTCAATAAACTCTTTTGTAATTTGTAAATATGATCTCCAGTACTGGGTTGGCTTCATTGAAGAAACAAATAAAGGTGACAGTGAAGTGAAGGTTAGATTTCTCCATCCTAAATGTCCCGCAAGGTCATATTTTTGGCCAGAGAGAGAAGACACTTGCTGGTTACCAGATGAACAAGTCATTCAAAATCTGCAGGTTCTGTCTACGTCCACTGGAAGGCAATACAAGTTGAGCAATGATGATGAAAAGATATTGTCGAAACTTCTCAAGAACATCTAAAAACCTTTTTGTATCTAAAAACATTTCAATTATTGCTTAACATTTAAACCTTATTTTATTATTCACCGTGTAGGCTTAAAAGGGGCTCTATTACAAAATCCTTTTTTCTGTTAGCACAAAATTCATGACTCCAGAGTTTCTGGATATAAATGAGTTGTCTGTATTTATGATATTTCTCTTACACTTTGATTCTGAATTTTCAGGTCAAGACCAAGTAATAATGCTAATTATGTGTATTTGAAACATAGCAGTATGTCAGCGTCTGTGCACAAAAAACACAATAAACCTATTTTTTAAAACCCTTTGTATCTTTAAAAGCACACAGAACACCATCACCAAACTTCATAGTCTGTTTAAGCATAATGTCAACTTGATTCATGTCAAATTTCATTATGATCTGTTTGGACCCATTTTGGCTATTTACACTTAAAGAATGTAATGTTTGCGAAAAATTTTTAACCAACTATTTCAATTTAAATCAGCTGTAGAATGATAACTGTGAGGTTTACAGAATTTTGCATGTGATATTTGGAATCTCCATAGCAAGTTCCATCAGATTGCATAATTTCAACAGGATCTTAAGTATAGTACTTGATTGCAGACCATTATTCTACAGCCATTTCTTGTAAAAAATGGGCGGTGGCTTTCTTCGCATAAGGGTGTGGTCATCAATATGTAACATCTCATAACTCGGAAACAATACAAGGTACTGAGCTGAAATTTTCTGTGTATTTTCAAACTATAAAAGGGACTACCTGACCAAAGTTATGAATCAATCTGAGTACATGGGTTTCACAGAAGTGAAGGCTGTGTTGATTTGACATGGAATGACCCCATAGGCAACCTCAGATGGCAAAAACCGTCAAATTGAGGGGTCCAATCCGAGAACATACGGTAGCAGTGGGGGCTTATTCGAGGGGAGGGGTTTTATTGGAAATTGTAGTTCTAGGGTGGGGGCTTATTCGAGGGGGGGGGGGCTTTTTAGAGGGGGGAATTCGAGGATTAACGGTAAGCCAAAATAGATTGAGTGATAAAGTAGTTTTAACTGCTGCAGCAACAAATTCATAGAGATCCACAGAAAGTGTTGGCAAGTGAAGGTCTTCATCAAAAGAAGTTTGAGAATTTATGGATTTTATTTTTCTATTTGACAAAGTTTACTTCCAATTTAGATTAGATATTTCTAGCGAGAGGGTACAATCTCACTTAAAAATGTTTGTTTAGTAAGTTAATGCGGCCAAATTCTCTGACTTGTTTACTTGCCTTTGTGCAGATGGACCTGGCACGGTCAAATACAGAAATGGCGACGAAATTCAAGGTGAATGGAAAATTGGAATTCGACATGGACAAGTAAGTTCAGTTTCACTGCATTTCATCTTTCAATACGCCTTTTTTGAAGTTATTTCATTTTCCTTGGGTCTTTATTGTTTTTGATAGACCAACGATACTCCTTCTAGCGGTGTGTGCGATCAATATTCACTATGATCTTTTTAAAGTAAGTGACAGTTCGCAATCTTCAGTTGACTCATTTAAACAGGCAAGGTATTGCGGTGATTGCACTTTTGCTCGTTTGGTTGATATCCATTTCGTTTCATATTTTATTCTTTGTACATCAGGCGAAAATCACCTTCAGCAATGGAGATGTATTTGATGGAGCTTTCAGAAGTGACCGCATTGAAGGAGATGGCAAACTGTCTTGCAAAAATGGAATGGAATATGATGGAGCCTGGAGGCGAAACATGGTATGTTGTTTAAAACGGACTTCTTTTGCTAAATAATTCGTTATTGTAGTATTAATAGCCTTATTTGCTGTTTTTTGTGCTGATTCTTGTAAACTCTAGTGAATTATAGGATCCAGAAACATCCTAAAGCGATCCATTAAGTGCTTTACCGCATTAAAACAGTGCAGCCACATTCATTTTCAGAATATCCAGTTTTAAACATTAGTATACGGAGATGCTGCTACAACTTCTAGTTTTCTGTTCATCAAATTTGAAAAATCCTCTAAACTCAAAGTTTAATGTTTGTTTGTTTTATGAAAATACTTTTAGCTTTGGGCAAGATCGGTAGAACTCCTCGATCATTGCATGAAAGGACTGTAGGACCCAGACTCATGAAATTTAAACGCTTTTGAAATTTTGTAGACCGTTGATTTTTCACCAGGTCTCCTTAACATCTTCTTCTGCAATATGAAGGCTCTAATCTGCCATCAGTTTTTAATCTGTATTGCTCAAAATTGTTAGGAAATGCTTTTTGGCAAACAAATTTGCTTTGCATTCTGCAGTTTTCTTGCTCTTCTCCATTATTGTGTGTTGTTTTAAAGATTTTTTGTCTTTCTCTTCAGAAATATGGCTTTGGGAAGCTGAAAATGGTAGATGGAAGCGTATATGAGTATGTTTTATTTTTATTGGTTGGTTTTCTAGTTTTTAATAATTCCTGTATAAAGATGTACACGCATTTTTGCTATTTTTGTTTTTTGGGGGGGGGGGAGGACTAAAGTTCAACTCTTTTTAAGTCCCGTCAAAAAAGCCAAAAAATTCCCCAAATTTTCTGACCATAGTGGTGCTTCTGTGGGGCTGTAGCTTTTGGGCTTGTCCCTGTTCTTTTCCTTTGAGCCAGTTTGGAATACCCGTTCATTGCTATCTATTTTGGGAACCTGATGAATAATTTTAGTCAATTTTTATATTCATTTAGCAAGTTTATGTTTGGTGATAAGTGATTAATTTTTTGCAGCTCACATGATTTGTTTTTTAAAGTCCCCTTCCCCTCCATACCCTTTTTAAAAGTTTCCCTCCCCTCCTTCTCTCTTTAAAAGACCCCCTCCCCTCTATGCCCTACCTATTATTAACTCTTCTTTTCGCGCATCTCTGTAGCTTTTAAAATTGATTTATCTCCTTGTGACATTGTCACAGAAGATATGAAACCTTTCTACATCAGTGATATTAGACTTAGCTTTACGTAAAAGCGCCTTTACCTATTGGCCTGTTTATGGTTTGTTTCAGAGGCTCCTTCAGAAATGATGAATTTGATGGAGACGGGGTGCTCACGTATTCTGATGGTTCTGTTTACAGAGGGGAATTCAAAGATGGCCAGGTGAGATTCACAAAGATAGGTAACACGGACACAAGTAATGGTTAACGCATGGTTAAAGAAATTTTTATAAACATCTACAGCTACACCTTATGGTTTTTGTACCACTGTTGTTGGTAGGCCAGGTTATGAAATGCTCACTCAACTATAATATAATCTTGCAGGTAAAGTAAAGGATACAGAAAAAATCTTACATTAAACTTTTGGCTTTTGGTAATGTTGGATGACAAGATGATCATCTTTAGCATTTTTGCGATTAACGGGTAGGCGCGTAGGTGTTTCAGCCATAGCAAGTTGTCATGCGCCGTGCTGTTGGAGGAATAATTTTTGTAAAGCAGAACTTGTCAATCTCATTCAGCTTCGAACTTGCCTAGATTTAGGTACAAGTTTGACACTGGTTTGTTAATCGAAACAAACTTGTTTGAATGTTTTACACAAAACATATTCTGCACGATGAATTAGCTATCTTAAATTTTGTGTTCTTTTTTTAAGAGAGACGGCTGTGGAACTTACACGGTTAAAAATGGAACTTGCTACGAAGGTCATTGGATGTATGATTTAAAAGACGGAACAGGAACTCTTACCTTCCCCAATGGGGATAAATACGAAGGAGCCTTCATCGAAGACAAGGTATTATACATTTGTCAATATGAATATATTATCATTAGCCAAAAAGTGTTGAAGTGTTTGCTTAACTAGTATGCAATTTGATTTTATGTCAGTTTGGTTACAAGTCATATTTTTATCTTAAATTTTTATTACAAGGATTATTCCTAAACTTAAAAACATCTGCGAAGTATTCAAGGTGTATTTGCTTTGTTTATGAAATTTCCAAGCTTTTTTACCAAAGTAAAGGTCCACTAGAAACTATGATTTGTGTGTATATTTGATACTTACCGAAAGATATCATCACAAAAGTATATTTAGTGTTCAAAGAACGATTTTATTTTCTTTATAGTCCCTTTAACGCTCTGGCTGCAACATTCCTACTAATTAGATCCTTTTTAATCTGTTGCTTAATTTTCCTCTTTTGAAGAGATGCGGTGAAGGTACTATGAGTTATAATTTCGGGGGATGTTACACTGGGCGATGGGAGGATGATAAGAGGCAAGGTCACGGTGTCATGGAGTTCAAGGATGGCTCAAAGTATGATGGAAATTGGACTTCAGGACAGGTACAGAGTAATTTTCAAAATGTTTTGTTATCCTTTTAACTGTAGATGCCCATTCAGGAATTTAATGTCAATGGCCACAAATTGCCTTAAATTGTGTAATAATCGGTGCGAGGAGTGAATAGCTTCTTTGGAGGAATTGAATAGTTCAATCTCAGTATATCCTTTATAGAGTAAAGAACTAAACAGTCATTTTATTCTAAAGCAGGACTGATTAATCGTAGAATGAGTCAAGATTGGGCAATTGAAAAATGCCAAGGCATTGAGATAGAGCGGCCAACGTAATCACACGAAAATCGAAAACAGTCAACTCAGCTTGTCTTGTGTTGGGATTTCTAATGCTGCACTTGAAACTCAAATATAATGAAAGTCTTTACCTAGACAGTGTTGGGAGTAATTTGCGTTGTAATAGGTTTTATCAGTTAATGCACATTATATATGACTGTATGCAAAATACGCCCGATTAAATGAGAATATGCAGTTTGAATTCTTTTTATGTAGTATTTAGATTTCTGGTGAGCATTTGGCCTTTGAGTTTTCATTCTTTGTCAATTAAGACGTTTAATGACCTGTTTTTGACCAACAGAGATCAGGGCAAGGTATCCAGTCATACCCAGATGGCTCTGTTTATGATGGTAAGAAGATTTCTTCGTTTCTACTCTTATTGAAAGCCGACTATTCGCTGTTGTTTATAGTGCTTTGATGTAGGCATTACAATTTGTATGCGTGACCAGTTTATAGAGAAGGCCAATTAAGTTGTACTATTTTGCGCAAAATAAGTGTTAAATCACGTGACATTCGTGTTTTAAAAGCAGCCTATCAGCGATCTGGACTGCCTTTCAAGGAATTTGATACCTGTTATCGTAAATCTTGTTCAAACAAGTTAAGTGTCTTGTCGTTGAACAGCGCTCAGTTTTATGGTCAGTAAAAGGCTGAGACCATTTGGCCACCTTATTCTTCCGTTATTTGACCCTTCCGCTTATGTTTGAGTATCATTTCTTATCATCTCAACCTTTCTTGGAAAAACTAGGCAATTCAATGTTCGCTGAAGAGTTAAGCGCAAACTTAGCTGTAAACTGCCTATGTTATGAAATATTATCAGTAGAATGTTAACTGATCTTCAAGGACTGCAAAATAGGCCTCGTTGTAAGGCGATTATATATCATATGATATTTTTGTTAAATTAATGCATAAATCAGAAGCTTTTCATAGTTATTAAATAGGTTTGATTAAACAAAGAAAGATTTTTAACAATTATTAAATGAAAAATCATCAATCGTAGGAGAATGGCAGTTTAATATGTTTGACGGCACAGGCACCCTTGAGAAACGAAACGGCTGGAAGTACAAAGGCCAATGGAAACACGGAAAGGTATTTTCGTCAATTCAGTCCAGTACATATACTTGTGGATTCCATTCCATCAGGGGCGGATACTTGGTCAAATATTGGGGGGCTAGCCTATTGTTTTAATAAGATGACGTCACATTTCCCATTTTTTTCGAACAAAAGACCATTGTCCTCTAAAGTATTGGGGGGGGGGCCGTCGCCCCCCCTCGCCCCCCCAAGTGTCCGCCACTGCATTCCATACATGATATGTATATTATACTGGCATTCATGCAATAGTTTATTAGAGTAAACTAAAAGAGATGCAGTAATAACTACAAAACAAGGTGTTCATGAATCTATTAAGTAAGTAAGAAGGTTTGTAAATCTATTAAGTAAGAATTAATCAATGTTTAATGAACAACTTTTAATAACCAAATATGCCTTTGGTACCCCCAATATTAAAAATGGCACGAATAAGCGAAAACATGTCCTACTTAAGTACTTTTCGCCCTACTCTCGCCAGAGTAAAAACGTCGGATGATGTTCAAAGGAAAGTAGAAAATTTATATCCAGGTGTGGATCGAAAGTAACACGAGAGGAAAAATAGCGCGTTTGGCTGGTTCTTTGATTTTGAACAATCGCAGCCGCTAACCTCTCATCTAGTTGAAGAGTCCTAGAGAGAAAACGAGCTTTTTGTCTGCACAAATCGGGATCTCTGGTTTTATGTATACAGATTCCAAAACTCCTAAATGAAAAGACGACCTTGTTTGCCCAATGATCTTAAAATTGTCGTCACTATATGTTTTGGCGCACCCTAGATTATTGAGTAAATGTTGACCTATGACCGAACCACAATTTACTTTAGTATGACGTGTTTCTGCTTTTCCGTGCCATTTTCAAACTTTTAATAGCGGACACTGCCAAGCAACAAGTAACTAATTTTGCTCCAAAATTTAGTTTCTATTGTCGAAATCTTGTAGAAGCAACCTCGAGACAGAGGAAATTTCCCTGCAACAGTCACTTTCTTTTAACGGGAATCTCCCTCCTCCCCCATTAAGCAACAATTTTGCCCCTCAGCTGACACTGATATGTATATTTCATTGTTTTCTTCTACGGTATTGTTTATGCTTAAAGGCAGTTGACATGCATAGGTACAGCGAATCTAAAAATAACTTAGGCCAAATCGATCATAGCACGCGCACAAGAAAGGAATTCGAAACCGCTCACATGAAACCACTGCGCGCTGCTCTAGGATTTCACCAATTTGCAAAAAGGCAGAAACTGTTCACGTGTTTTTCTCTGTGCGCAATTGGATTGGGCAACCGCTCGTGGTCGAGTGGCTGTAAGCCACTTTTACCTGTGTCAAATGCTGATGTATAACAAAGGTTGATATTTATATTTATTTCGTACAAATGCCTCTGCCATTGTTGTTTCAGCATCACGGTACAGGAACCTTGACAGACACAGCCAACAGCTTTAAATTTCAAGGTACCATCGTCAGAATTGTCTCTTCTGTTTGCTGTCTTACATGTGTATATCATATCGTGACGTCAAGTAAACACATTTCAATACCCTGCTCCTTACACACGATTAACCTTTCGTTTAAGATCTGTTTTCCTAAATCCCAATATGCAAATGAAATCCGCCTAGCGTCAAAGGAGTTCAGAACAGAAAAACTTTTCTAGCTGATGCCTGCTAGCCCGATCAGATCTATTGGCTGTCATCTTTCCAGAACGTTATTACGCAATCCTCTTTAGATACATTTTGAAATTCTCTTTGATATCGTCCAGGGCCAGCTGATCACAAATATCAGAGGGGTGTTTATCAGATTTTCTTAGTTCTGCGCTGCATAATGCAAACCCGTCTCACAATTTCTGTTTTGGATTTAGAGATTGTTCTTCGCATGTTATACATGGTACCAAACATTGTGATATACTATCAGCTTTTAGTTCAACGATCGTTGATAATTTTCACGTTTTTGACGTTGCAATGGAAGCTTTTCCACTCAAATGTTGCGGTCGCTAAGTTCTAGATTGTTTAAATCTGCGTTAGAGTCAATTTGAGGGTTGTTTCGACAGGGATGTACTGCTCTTTTTACTAAGAACTATGTTGACCAATCCAGCTGTTGTGCGATTGCTGTGTTCCTTAGTTAATTCATGTCATGGAGTTTGCTCTTTGCCATTTATTATTGTTTTTTTCGGTTAAAGGTGAATGGCAGAATGGCAAGAAGCAGGGAAAAGGGATCGAATTGATTTACGGGATTCTTTTTGAAGGAGAATTCAAGAACAATAAAGTAAGTTGTGCAATGCATCACTTAACATTGTTTCAAAACTCGACTTTCTGTTTCTTTCCAAACCAGAAATATGTCAGGCTTTAATTTTAAAAAGAAATTCACGGGCGAGATTATTATCTATTAGTTAGAGTGTCTCATAGAGTTTAGGGACATGTTCGCTGCATTTCATCTATCAGCCAGCTGATGGATACTTGGCCTATTTTTAAATTATTTGTTAATTCATCAACTGATTTTCCCGTGTGTTACTTTGCATCCTTAGAGGCAATATACAGGCCTGTTATGGACGTCAAAAAGTAATTTTCAATGGCGTTCAGTTCTCACAATTAGATCTCTGAACCTGCTGTTTTTAGTCGAAATTAAACAAGTATGTGTAAATTCGGTGCTTATGATATCCTCGTTAAAGTTTTTTAAATCGAGAGCCATTTTGTGGCGTTAAGCGGGTTCTTTAGCGTTATCTTCTATACAACAAACATGACATTGCCAAATTTTGTTTCATCCTGTTGCAAAGCTTTTGTTTCATACGGAGCTCGAAACCGTTTTCTTATGACTATAGCTTCTTGACTTTGTTGCAAAGCTGTGTCTAGGATGGTGGGACTTCAGTAAATCGTTGCGAGCTATTTGCTAAAGTTTTATTGTTTTGTCTTGTAGCGAGATGGACGTGGGGTTGAAACTGCGCAGGACAAGACAACGTATGAAGGTCATTGGAAACTGGGTCAAAGACATGGAAAGGGAGCAAAGAAATTGCTGAATGGAATGGTGCAACATCAGGTTTGTGTTCAGTCCGTCTTTTATACTTTTGTGTTGTATGTGCGATTGCTTCAAATGCTTGTTTAATGTTCATCTCATCATAGTTGGTATCAACCCTACTCAATTGATTATATTCAATCTATACTCTAGTGTCTCTAATTGACGCCCCCCCCCTGTGTATTAATTTCAGAAGAATTCTCCTCTCCCCGTCGCCTATTAGCACCCCTCTTATATTAAATTTTACAAATCTGTCATGACCAGAACACGCAGAATATTAAATGAAAAAGCGATGTGATTTATAAAAAATAGTAGGCTCCTGTTTGTGAGAACGAAACGCGTAGATTGAGGGGAATACTCTTAAGACACTGCCTTTTAATTAAAAGATTTCCCAACATCCACCACTCCTTCTTTTAGCTCCCCTTTGCTATTGAAATTTGCTGACATTTTTTTGAAAATTGGCCAACACGAACACCCCCTTCAATTAGCCACCAACTTCTATTGAAAACTGGCCGACATGAATACCCACCCCCTTCTATTAGCACCCCCTTCTATTGAAAATTGGCCGGAATGAACACCCCCCTTCTATTACCCCCCTTCTATTAGAGACACTAGAGTAGTTAGAAGTTTAAGAAAGTAGTTACGCTGTTTAAGAAAGTAGATTTTATAGAGTTAGAGCCGACTACACACTTACTTATTGGTTTTGTCATGTTGGGTGCTTTCTCACATCTGCAAGATTGATCCTTTTTTGTTTTAACACATTCACGACACCCCCTCCCCCATTTTCTAGTTTCTACTACATCTTGGATCTGCTTTTACACTGCTTGCCTTAGTTATTGTACGTTGCAAAAATTATTAATAACTCACAGGAAATAATCACAAGATAATCTGAACTATCGGAAAATAATCTGAAAATTATAATGGACAAGTCAAGGAAATAACCGAAGTAATCAATAAATATTCAATTAACCAGAAAATGATAAGAAAACAGCCACGAAGCTATAGCAAAAGACAATGAAGAAATAATCAGAAATGCCATGCAACAATCAAAATTGTTGGAAAGTAACCAGGAGATTAGGAATAAAGAAATATTAAGATCGTAATCGAAATATGGTCAAGTAAAGGAAAAATAATAAGTATTGATACGGTTATTATAAAAGCGAGTTTAAGTCAAGGGTATAGTCACGGGAGTGCGAGTAATTTTTAATCACGTGACTTGTGCGGAGCCAATTTTTTCAGATCGAGGTTAATACACTTCTTGTCTTTTCCGAGGCTAATCTGCATACTCTCCCGTAGGTCCACTGGCAAGCCCGCGTAGCGGGCTTCGTAGGGGAGCTAGTTTATATTCTGTTCTACCTAGTATTTCTGCACGTTGCCAACTTAGCCATGATCTCTATTATTGACCATATCTTCTGTTGCAGGTTTGGCATATGGGATGCTTAATGGACTGCCCTGTTTTGGTAGCCAGAGAAGTCCCGCCTCTTCAAAGGTCGTGATCGTAGAATATTTGTTATTAAATTTTGGCATTTAATGTTTATTTTAAAATTTGCCTCATCGATGGCCGTTTTTTAGAAATTTTGGCAAGGCTAACATTATCCCCGATGCAAGCCAAGCTACAGAAAATTTTGCTATGTTTAGGCGTAGTTGTTCTTGTCTATTTATAAAAAATTTTCGAGGAATTAAGCAGTTAAGGTTCTGAGTTGTGAAACTTTTACAAAACCTAGATTACACTGATTACTTGATACTTGAAATAAATCTCCAGCTATTCACTAAAGCTTTCATACTTTGTCAAAGAAGACATGTGACAATGAGAACGAAACATCTTTGTATAAAAATCTGGCATAAACTAATTTTCCAATATTCTTCTCAAATTGAAGGAAAGAGAACCTATATCTTGAAGGGAACTTCTGCATAAATTTGGATTCCTTAAGATGTATATCTAAGAAATCTTGATATGTCATTCAAGAAAGGACTTACAAGAATGAGCTTGGGTTTCCTCTTGTTGGGGTTCATTCTTGTTGGGGTTTATAAAAGGAATTAAATGTTTAATTTGGGCATTTTTATTACGTCACATTCTAGATTTCTAATTTGTCCGGGTCTTTGAAGTGGGATTAACGTAAAGGCGTTGTGTCCATAGAAAAATAATACTAGTATCTCTGACATTAAAGGCATTGAGTTATGGTAAATAGACCTTCTCTAAAGGGGATCATTTGGTTTCGGCGTGACCGCTGCTGTTCCATGTGATACTTGGTCGTGTCACAGAATATATCGTCAATCAGTACGAGGTGAGTTCATGTGACCAGTTCCAGGTCAACCAATAGCATGGCATCCATGAAAATCACGACTCAACGGATTTTGGCACTTTAGGTTTACCCAATCCATTTTATCATGAATCAATGCCTTTAAAGGGTATACATTAGTGCTTAGACTAACCCCCCTCCCCCTCCCACTCCCCCCAACATTGATTAGTTGCGGGGGATATAGATTGGCGAAAACCTTTCCATGCTGATCAAAATAAAGCAGGGTTCCCTGTATAGTTTCAACTTCTATGGACGATCTTAAAACCTTCTAATGAAATGCTGACATGAATTCGGTTGTTCTGTGATTTGGCTCTTTTACGTTGGCTGAGGCATTGGTAAGAGGAAACAAGGTATAAAGGGCTATAGAATTGATGAGAGGGGGGCACCAAGGTTGATGATATCTTTGCGGTCTAGCACAGTCAATATCCTGCAGTAATACGGATCCTGTTTATTGTGAAAATGTTGTTCAAATTTCACGAATTTTGAAGGCAGTTGATATGCCCAAGTGGAAGGGGCAGCTGAAATCAAAGGGGGGTACCTACCCTATACTTGATTGGGGGGTCCATTTTGTCGTTCTGTAACCAAAATAGAAAGGATGTTATCGTGCTGGAAGTTCCAATAGTTTACTAAATGTATTTTTGTGATTTTCGTATGTTGAAAACAATTGTAAATATGGGTTTCCGTAGATATGTATTGTTATGTATTTCTTGGAATAGCTAATTTTGAAAGCTTATAACAAAAACAATTCATATTCTCGTTTAGGTCAAATTATTAGTAGAGTAGTTAAGAAAGTAAATTTAAATCAGTTCAGCTGGTATTGGTGCTACCCTCTCGTGATTTATTTAATTCTATTATTTGTTAACGAGCTATTGAGGAGAATATCAAAATAAGACTTTCGAGCGAAAGAATTTCAAGATATCAATCTTTATCCAGTAAATCACTTTTCTTGCAAGCATACTTGGATTATAATTCTGTAGACAGGGCCCACGCCACAAATTTCAAGGTTGAGGAGCCAGGTTCGCACTTGAATTTAGTACTTCAAAACCGGGCCTCGTTGTAAATATTTTTTCTTATCAAAAAAGTGGGGGGCCATGATCCCTCCGCCCACCCCCTCCGGTGGCGTGGGCCCTGGCAGAGCGGAATCCTGTTTTCAAAACTATTGCGACAAAAGGTTCAAAGTTATAAATGACATTTGGCATCATCATTAGTTTATCTTTTCCTTATTTTTCATCATTCCGGCCATCTTATTCTTTTACAAAAATTCCCGTCGTTAAATTCAGGATCATTCGAATACAGCCGGCTGAAATGTATCAACTTCAAATGTGTGATTTAAAGTCTTTACAAAAATCGTTGTCTTGTGCTTGAGAATCGAAGTCGTTATATATGCATTAAGATTTGCGATATTCATTTACAATTTCATTTATGTGCAATAAATTATCAAGACTGAATTGATGTTGTTGACAATCGCATAAAGAATGTTCTCAGAGAATATGGCTGCACAAATTGAGAAAGGAAGAGCAACAACAGAAAGGCATTGTGCAAGATAAACCATTTTCATTCTGGACACTGCAATAAAATTCATCATATGCCGTTTTTGGAGATAAAAATAATGGTGTCTGGAGACTGGAAAATGTTGGCAAGCGAGGAAAACCTCACCAGGTTTTTAACTTGTAATTCTTTCAATCGTCTTTTATTTCTAACTTGTTTTTGAGCAATTTTGTACACCATAATGGCGCTATAGAACTATGATTGCAGGGCGTTTCAAGGCATTCCAAGGACAAAGAGCTATGATTTTGAGTAAATTTTTGATATTATTAGAGGGGGCTGAGCTCCCTGTTAATGCGGTTTCTGGCCTGAACTAGTGATGTAATTTAACGTTCCCCTTTTAAGTGTGAACAACCAACTGATGTCGCGCATGCGCATTTGGATGTGTTTCACGATTTTATTTCGGTTCGTGTAGACAAATGCTCGGTTGAGAAAATTAAGAAAACGTTTGAAGGCAGATTTGGTCTTTGTAGACTCGAAACACGCGTTTTTGTAGCAGTGAAGTTTATTTTTTCTTTTGCTACCTTTGCTTTGCTGTGCGGTGCTTTGCTGTGCGGTTCTTTGTTCCCGCGACTTGTTTTGAAGAGGCTACTTATTTAGAACGAGGCCATCGGAATATTCTGTGACACGACCAACCAGAACTAAAAGTGAAAGAAGATCTGAAGAACATAAACAAGTGGGAAACAACAACAAGAGAATCCTTATTTATGTATGTTCCTTCACATTTTAGCTCTACATCTGATAAATATGCTTTTTATCCTAGGATTTAGGGAATTGTCGGGAAATGTCTGCGTGACCTTTTTGTCCTTAAGAAGAATTGCTTGCTGGTGACCATTTCCATTGCTTTCGTTCCACTGTCACTCATATATTTGCCAATGTACATATACACTGGTTTTATAAGGATCTTAGTTCGCGGCCTAGCTCTTGTTTATCCTTATTTTTAAGCCCTTTTGGTCGAAAAGCAGTAATAAAAGTTTTATTCGCTCACAAAAAGAAGATTATAAAGACAATTGACATATGAACAACTGGAAGACAATTGATATATGAACAACGGATATACTTTAATTTTTTTATTCCTTCTTCATGTAGGTTCCGTTGAAAGTTGCTCCTTATTGAAAAATTCACTGGATACCTACCATTGTAGAATCAGTAAAATTGTAAATAATAAATTTAGCACTAAAAGTATTTAGACTATAAACTTACAATTCCATTGCAACTAAATGCTTACAGAATATCATAGTAAATTATAAGCACAGAATACAAGCCAAAAAAGAACAGGGAAACATTTGACATTTATTTTGTTTAAGTAAATAGGTAATGGTGAAACAGCAGTGTCAGCCTTTTTTTGTACAGGGCAGTTCTCAGCATATGTGTGCACAGCCTTTCCAGAATATTTTGTGTATGCAAACAATCTTTCACCAGTCATAGTCCTAGGACTAATTAAGTTTGCATTTCAAATCTAAGCTTGCAACATTACACTGACTGTAGCTGTAAGTTCTACTGCTGACCTGAGTGCGTATAGCTATATATCATCAGCTTTGTTAAAATCAGATATTAACTCATTTGCCTTTATTCTAGACATGTCTGTTTGAAATATGGCATCTTACATATCAAAGAGAGGAGAAAAAAGTGCCGATTTAGAAAACATCCTTTTGGAATGTTTTGAGAAAGTAATGTCAAATCCTTTTGATAATGAGAAAAACCCTGCTGGCATCATCAACATGGGTACCAGTGAAAACAAGCTGATTGTGGATATCTTATCAGAAAGATTTAAGAAAATTTGCCTTGATGGTATGCCTCAATGTTACATGCAATATGCTGATATGCGGGGACTTCCTGAGTTCAGACAGTCACTGGCAACATTTCTAAACAAATACATGAAACCTGCCGAGCCCTTTGAAAAAGACAATTTGTATGTGTTCAATGGTTGTGGATCAGTCATTGAAATGCTTGGTAAGTTAGTTGACTTTTAAAATCAATAAATTAGCCCTTCTTATAGGCTGAGCAGCAAAATAGAATGCTGAGTGTTTCCCTAAGATCCATCTTGTACCAACTGAATCAAATCCATGTTGAAAGGGCCTTGTTATGTAATTCAAAGGTTTTGGATGTGATGTTCAAAAGTCAATATAATCGAAATGGCATTTTGAAAATTGTTGTTTACCAGTGTTTTCTATATCACTCGATGTATATTATAGGCAGAGCTGTATATGCTGTTATGATTATTTTTATATATATTTACACAAGATACTTCCATGTGTCTGAAAATGCTTATGTATATATTTCTTCACATGAAGAAAGACATATTTAGTTGTTAATCCATTTCTTGCAATAGTGTTGCTTCTTATTCAATTTAAGTGGGGTGAACAAGCATGTGCTCTGTGGTCAAGGGAAAGGAATAATTATGTGCATTTCTGCTTTAATCTACATTCAGTGCATACTCTATTTGCAATAGATGCCTGATATTGGGTCATAGGACCTTGCAGACAACTTTTAACCATGAAGAAAAAACTGTCATGAGACAGGAGAAGATGGCAACTGTAAAAATGTTCTAGTACACTAGATTTATGTGGTTCGTTTTACACAACTTGTCCTCATTTGAAAAATCTGTGCTTTATACTTCTTTTTATATTCTGAATTGCATGTATGCAATAGTTGCAAATGTAGTTTTCAATTTATTTGATATTTTTAACTAGCTGGAATCAATTTATTGTTTAAAATTGCTTTTATAGGTTTTGCAATATGTGATGATGGTGATTGCCTTTTGGTGCCAGCACCATATTATGGAGCATTCAAAACAGATTTAGCCTGCCGAATGGGATGTGTGATATATTCAGTTGATCTTTCAAGTGAAGTGAAAAAAGAATTTGGGGAGAAGGAGCCATTTGAGTTGTCGGTAGGACGCCTTGAAGAGGCTTTTGTCAAAGCAGAGTCTGAAGGACATAAAGTTTGTGGCATCATTCTGGCTAACCCAAACAACCCCCTTGGTAACATCTATACAAAAAGCCAGATAGAAGATTACCTCAAATTTGCAGCTAGACACAATATTCATGTCATACTTGATGAGATCTATTTTTTGTCTATATATGAAAAGGAAGCTCAATTTACAGGGGGTAGAAGCATTGTAGGTGCTATAGACCCAAAGCTGCTTCATATTGTTTGGGGTTTCAGCAAAGACTTTGCAATGTCAGGATTCAGATGTGGTCTGGTACATACAGTAAACAAGCAAGTTGAAAGGGTCCTCAACGCAAATGCATACTTTCAAAGTGTTCCAACTCCTGCGCAATTCATGCTGCAGTCAATTACTGATGATCATGATTGGCTGGATAAAGTTTATTTTCCAACAAACCAAAGCCGATTACTGGCTGCTAAAAACTTTGTTTGCAAGGAGCTGGCTGATATTGGGGTCCCAATTTACCCATCAGCTGCTGGTTTATTTGTATGGGTAAACTTCAAAAGTTATGTTAAACCATTGTCACGAGAAGGGGAGCTAAAACTATTAAATGCCTTCTTGGATAATGGTGTTTATATTTGTCCTGGTGTTGCATTCCATTCTAAAGAATATGGCTGGTTTAGGATTATCTTCAGTTTGAAGCAACATGAGCTTATTTCAGGCATCCAAAGAGTCAAAGATGTTTTACAGAATATCAACAGAAATGAAAGTGGGGCTGGAGAAAATCTTGACGAACTAGTTGTCAATTTCCAGAGATTGGTAAGGGAAAGTGATTGGCTAGAAAATAACACTGCTGAAAAATGGGTTAAAGAAAATCCAGAACTGGCTGCCAAGTTTGTAGAGCAGAAGTCAGATTGATTCAAATGAAATATTGTCTCTATTTTGTTTCTGTTTTCAGTGAACTTGACAGGGCACAGATATAGTGCTAATATAATTTATAAATTATTCGAGACAGTTATGTTTTTAAATCTTAAAGGAGAGCATTATAAATGCAATAGCATTTGTCACTAGATTTTGAATGATTGACTCAAAGATTGGAATGAGGATGTAAAGCATGTAATTAACATGATCTTAAAAAATGTTTTATGAAAGGTGTTATTTTTACATGTCTATAACAAAGAGAATGATTGATTTAACTGATTTACTTTGGTGATTTTCTGTTTGTCCATGATTTAACCTGCCTATATTTTAGAAATACTCACCCAGGTGCAGAAAGAGCAATCGAGCTGTGAAAAAAGTCACATGGCAAATGAATGTAGGCCCTCAATTGTCAAAAAAGAAGGGGAATCGACTTGTGACATTATTTGTAGAACCTCATATAATCTACTCAACTTGACTGCAATAGCAGTATCATAAAATCTCTATTCTCTATTTCTTGATGGTTTTAGCATTTCCCCCTTTTTAAGTGATTTCACAGGTCAATTCAATCTAGAGAATTCAGCAATTTTGTGTTTGGGGCTGTGTGATCACAGCTTTCTTCGATTTATCTTAAAGCCGCAGAGGTAATTGATTGTTACTCCGAGAAAGGTCTTGACGACACTTTTTTGGCAGTTTCAGACATCACTGTAAACCAAGTGCAATTTTGATTATATTAGGACATTCGAAATCTGACCAATTTGATAAAAATGTATCATGTAAAAACAGACCTGCCAATTAGCCCAGTTTCACAAAGAGACTCCCGGGTCGCCTTCCTTCTCCTGCTCTCCCGATACTTTATCTATTTCTCCCGGTTTCTTAGCCTTTTTTGAAGTCTTTGCTTCCTCGTGGTTTCTCAAAAATTTATCACGGCAGTGATGAAACTGCCTGGCACTATCATTGTTTTGACACAGAATAGGTGTTCTGACATCGTAAGAATTAGCGGTCTTTTCCACGAGACACGACATTTTCTTAAATGACCAGCCTTACTTTCATGTTAATGTTTGCTTTCTTTGAAGTGTAAAAGTTAAGATGGCATCATGAAAGCGAACAACTGACGATGCTCACAATGATGATTCTTCCTCTCCCAGTGTTATCTCGGTCTTTGATCTTTTGCCTCAAGTTAGATGGATCACTTTCTGATATTTTGGTCATGAAGTCACATTACCCAGAGTCCATAGTTCCTTGCCTTAAATGGATACCCAAAGAGGACATCATGAAAGTTGCGAAAACTGCAACAGTCAGACATCTTAAGAAATGACTAATTAACTTTTTAAGCAACTGTATCAATACCTAAATATGTCAAGGTGCTCCTGTCAGTCATTGAAGGTGCAACAGGGACAAATATATTCTCCTTTTTTTGCATTTACCCCCAAGTTTTTCTAAAAAATCAGGTTATCTCTAAATTTTATATATGTACATGTTGGCAGGTCTGTAAAAATAAGGTAGGCAAAATCCGTTACACTACTCATTTTCGGCATTATTTACCTTATGATACGAAAATAGCGCTAACGCTAATTGAAAAAAGCCGCGTTAATTGAAACCCCAATAATTTAAAAAAATACTTTCTAAACATTTGAATGCCCACATTATTGACTGTTTCCGCAATTTTGATCCGTTATCATTTTCATTTTGCTCAATCTCTAGTATTCTTTCACTCATCAACGGGCTTCGATCGAGGGATAATCGACCTCTTTCACTTTAGTCACGAAAACTGACAATTTTTCAGCCTCGCCCCACGTGACTGATACCTTTATTAGAATCTACAACCAACGTTGACTTGAAGTTTTTCTTGTAGTTTTTTTGTTTTATTTTCAGTGCTGAATTTGAATAAATTTCGGTACAACAACCTCAACTGGCATTGAAAATTCACGTTAATCAAAAAACCATTTCAATATTTGAATTTCGTTGATTTGTGTTCATTACCACACATTTTGAAAATAAATCTCACTATTCGCATTAATTTATTCCTCGTTATTTGGTGTGTTGTGTTATTTTCGTGTAATTAGATACCTGTGGTTTTTGGGTTTATTCTTGTTTGCCTTTTTGATGCCTTTTTTATTTTTTATTGTATTGTATTATTTGACTATAGTATGATGCTTCCCCATATTTTATATAGAGTTATTCTGATAACCAGGGTAGTTTCTGGCGGACAAGTCCCTTGGTTTCATTGCGAAGTGTCCTCTGTGTGTGGACGAGCTTTGTTATGCACGACAAGTCCCTTGGTTTCATTGGCAAGTGTCCTCTGTGTGTGGACGAGCTTTGTTATGCACGACAAGTCCCTTGGTTTCATTGGGAAGTGTCCTCTGTGTGTGGACGAACTTGGTTATGGAGGACAAGACCCTTGGTTTCACTGGCAAGTGTCCTCTGTGTGTGGGCGAGCTTTGTTATGCACGACAAGTCCCTTGGTTTCATTGGGAAGTGTCATCTGTGTGTGGACGAACGTGGTTATGGAGCACAAGACCCTTGGTTTCACTGGCAAGTGTCCTTTGTGTGTGGACAAACTTGGTCTTGGAGGACAAGTCCATTTGTTTTACTGGCAAGTGTCCTCTCTGTGTGGTCGAGCGTGGTTATGGAGCACAAGACCCTTGGTTTCACTGGCAAGTGTCCTCTGTGTGTGGAAGCTCTTGGTTATGGAGAACAAGAACCTTGGTTTCACTGGCAAGTGTCCTGTGTGTGTGGACGAGCGTGGTTATAGAGCACAAGACCCTTGGTTTCACTGGCAAGTGTCCTCTGTGTGTGGAAGCTCTTGGTTATGGAGAACAAGACCCTTGGTTTCATTGCGAAGTGTCCTCTGTGTGTGGAAGCTCTTGGTTAAGGAGAACAAGACCCTTGGTTTCACTGGCAAGTGTCATCTGTGTGTGGACGAACGTGGTTATGGAGCACAAGACCCTTGGTTTCATTGCGAAGTGTCCTCTGTGTGTGGAAGCTCTTGGTTAAGGAGGACAAGACCCTTGGTTTCACTGGCAAGTGTCCTCTGTGTGTGGATGAAGTTGGTTATGGAGGACAAGACCCTTGGTTTCACTGGCAAGTGTCCTCTGTGTGTGGACGAACGTCCACTGTGTGTGGAAGCTCTTGGTTATGGAGAACAAGAACCTTGGTTTCACTGGCAAGTGTCATCTGTGTGTGGACGAACGTGGTTATGGAGCACAAGACCCTTGGTTTCATTGCGAAGTGTCCTCTGTGTGTGGAAGCTCTTGGTTATGGAGAACAAGAACCTTGGTTTCACTGGGAAGTGTCATCTGTGTGTGGACGAACGTGGTTATGGAGCACAAGACTCTTGTTTTCACTGGCAAGTGTCCTTTGTGTGTGGACAAACTTGGTCTTGGAGGACAAGTCCATTTGTTTTACTGGCAAGTGTCCTTTGTGTGTGGATGAACTTGGTTATGGAGGACAAGACCCTTGATTTCACTGGCAAGTGTCCTTTGTGTGTGGACGAACTTGGTTATGGAGGACAAGACCCTTGGTTTCACAGGCAAGTGTCCTCTGTGTGTGGACGAACTTGGTTATGGAGTACAAGACCCTTGGTTTCACTGGCAAGTGTCCTTTGTGTGTGGACGAACTTGGTTATGGAGGACAAGACTCCTGGTGTCACTGGCAAGTGTCCTCTGTGTGTGGACGAACTTGGTTATGGAGGACAAGACCCTTGGTTTTAACTGGCAAGTGTCCTCTGTGTGTGGACGAACTTGGCTATGGAGGACAAGACCCTTGGTTTCTCTTTGCTGACTTTACTGGTGGGTTTTTCTACTTTTTATTTCTCTCAAAGTAAAGTGATTTTTCCACATACAGTTTTGCTTAGCAAGTCTATGATGAATTGATAGTCGTATTGTTGCTAAGGTCATATTGTAAGGTGGTTTGGGATCTTCGCTCGTGGCGGAAGAAGGCTATTGCTTCTCTTCTTGAACCCCTACAAAGGCGGTTGTGGTTTTATTTATGGGCGATTGGCGCACCGACAGCCCAAAAATAAATGGTCCAAATGATGAGAGAACGCAGTCTTATGATTGACAATGGTAAAATATTCTGAGTACCATCTTGCCCTTTTTTGCTAACGGTTTTTGTTTGGTAACCTGGAATAAATATTAACCATCAAAAATCTGTAATCTACGTATAATATACTCTCAATCTGTGGATCGGGAGACCCCTACAGCCCCCTCAGTTATTCTGGAAGCGTTATGATAGCGGTTGAACGCATGTCTCGAAGCTCTATGTTCAGGCCCGTCGCTAGCTTTTGTGCTCAAGAGGGTTTTCCAAGTACCATTTGCCGACAAAGTGGTTGAACCATCCTCTATTGGGCAACGATTTTAAAAATTTGCCGACTATCTACCCCTGAATGGTCCTGAGTGAAAAAAACTCATCTTTTTGTAATAAAATTTCATTTCAAGAGGGGTGTCACACCCCCACATGTTCCCTATGGCGACGGGTCTGCCTGTGCTGAAGTCTTTCACGTTGTTCTTCGTAGTATTAGCTTGTGCTAGGGGTCTGGGACACAGGCTACGTAGCATATGTAATGTAGCTATTTCATGCTAAAGACGCAGGTTTAACAGTTTTTCTGGTTAACATTTTGTAAGACTCAGACTCAGAAAAATCATGTCTTGTCTAGCATGGTAAGCGGCAAACGAAGAACCGCGGCAGAAGCTCGAAAACGACGTGAATGAGGTTTTAGGAATCCCAATGGCTGGTCTACTCCGAAGTGCGAAACAGAGAATGTTGGCGTACGACCGTTTCACGTGCCAAGGCGGGTCAGGGTCAGCGCTGACCCATCCGTTCTTAATGATGATGAAGACTGAAATCCAAAATTTGTGGCACAAATTAAAAATATTGCTCAAAATGTAAGGTTTTCGTCGATCCTGTCCAAAAGCCTTGTATTTTCATACATTTCTCCGAAATAAGAACTGCTCAATCCTTTTTACTTAGACCCCGTTTACACTGTGCCGGATAAAATTTATCCGCATAAAAGTTGTTCGGATTGATTTGCGTTTACACTGTGCCGCACAAATTTTGTCCACCTGGCCCTCCCGTTTAAACTGTGCCGGATAACTGCAGTCACATGACCTAAATCATGCACAGAACGCCCAAAATGAAGTCTTCTCTGGGCAACAAAATAATAACAAAATTCCCGCCAACGTAAAAAAACTTCATTCTCTCTTCAGAATCATCTGCTTCTCTTTTAGACCAAATCCAAAGATATTGTCAATACAAATTAGGCCTATTTTATTTTAATAGTTTGTTCTTGAAACAAAATGACACTGAACTAGCAACGAAAGTAGGGAAAGCTGACAAGGATGCCAATTTTACGTAGACTGGCAAGGTACTGCACTTTTAACACGAGTATATATCGACAGCAAGCCAGCCAAGATGGCGAAAGGTCTTGATTGGGAGACAGTGAAAACTAAATTGGATGAAATAGCCAATCGCTTTCGAGCAAGATACAATGTGGATAAAATTTATCCGGATAAAAGCGGTTACACTGTACCACATAGCTATCCGAACTAATTTAATCCACTTTCCTAGGTGAACTAATTTTGTTCGGATAGCCGCTCTTAAATTTGTGCGGATAGCGTAGGTCTAGTGTAAACGCGACGCCTATCTGAACTAATTTTGATGCGGATAAAATTTATCCGGCACAGTATAAACGGTAGCCTGCGCCGCAGACCCAATCCTCCAAAGAGAATAGATTTTTGTGCTTCTTGACAAATGCTAAACAACTTCAACATATGTAATCCGAAGTAAGATGAACTTTTAATGGCAGATTGTTCAAATCGTCAGTTATTCTTGTCTTCCCAACTATAAGAATTCGGTCTTGAGGTTTGCCAAGCTCATTCAAACAAACAGTACAAACGTCGATCTCCGTTGCGGCCGCCATTAAGTTTAGGTCAACAATGCGGTGAGCAGCGCTGAGCGCATAAATTATCATGTTAGTTCCCAAGCCTTTGCATATTTTAAGGCCAAACAGAACAAGCTTCGGGTCAATTGTTCGCAGACCCTATTCTCTTTGGAGGATTGGGTCTGTGGCGCAGGCTATATAAACGGGGTCTTATACTCGCAGGAATATTTATCGGAAACGTCGGACTTCTGAAAATTGTAAAGGAAATTGTTTATCTGGTCTTCCCTCAATGGAAAGGAAGAAAATTAACATTATGATAATACAGGACAGATCATTAAGATGAAAATACCATCTGAAATACTCAACATTAGGCTCAGCGCATTAGTTCATAGACCTAGTTTCAAAGAAGAATAAAAGACTAGTCCATCTGGCAGCGTTCTGGTGCATCTTCCGAGGCAAATGTGCACGTTTCTCTGTTTTTAACTTCTGCTTGCGATGCCACTTAAGTCCAAACGTAGCAAGATCGAATATGGTTATGCAAAAAAGCTTTTGACATTATTCAACGACCGCGGAGCATATCAAGCCCTGACCAAACGAGCCAACATTTCGCCCAACATCTTTCCCAACAATGTTGGGAGTTGTTAGGAAGGCTGGTCAAACGATCCAACAGTTCACCCAACATTTGGCACAACCGTTTTTGGAATACTCGGATTGAGACCAAGACGGCCTAAGCCTGCCATCCCTGATCTTGAAAACAACGCTTTCCTTTACCCAAAACTCTATTTATTTCCTTTACGGCCTCGTCGTACTCATCTTTACTCACTAAATCTCTTTCTTCGTACTTTTCCATTATCCAATATTCTTCAGTCGTCCCAATCAAGTCTACTCTCTTCTTCTTACAATTCTGATCTCTGCTTCACAAACTCAAACTTGGCGCGCAGCGCTATTCACATTTCTAAATTTTTCACAGCGCTTGCATGAAACCAACAAATGTTGGGCAACCCGGCCAAACGGACCAACAACGCCCAACAGAACCTTGAACAATGGGGATTATTTTAATCACCAGCCAACGCCGTCAACATTTTTGACCAGTTTCAAATCGATCCAACATTTAACCCAACATCTTTCCCAACTATGTTGGATGACCCAACATGGTGGCCAAACGACCAAACATTTGAGCCAACATACGAAAAGAGCATGTTGGCTGAAAAGTTGTCTCATTTGGCCGAGGCTTTACAGATTGAGGGGGCTCAAACTGTTTTCAATTTATCAAAAATGCTCTAAAGAATAATGAAAGAGTTTTGCAAATGGTTTGGGTATGTGTTAGGCTATATCGTTTAAGTTTTACCTATTCGATGCACCTATCTTCCATCAGTTCACTTGGTATTTCCATCAGATCAAGCGTGTGGCCCTCTGCCTATTTGCCATCAACCTTTCCAAAAATGACGCTACCTCATCTCCAAACTTGCAAGCATCTCCTTTCGTACCACATATTACATATTCTGCTGTAGGAACAAAACTTGAACTAACCCAGAGCCACTCCCTTTTTGATCATTTTTTCCTTTTTTTCTCATTTCTACGATTGTTAAAGTTTTATTTTGTAAAAACAGGCTAGCCTGTTACAAATTACCTTGTAATAGTGAGATTTGTAATTGTAGTTTTAACTGATATTCAAAATGAAAAGTTTCCATTATCATTATTATCATTCTCTTAGCAGTTTGTACAAGTCCGCTAAATTTATTAGCCCCTCAATTAGTTCTCTTGATATCTTTGGGCAATCATGTTCTACTTTTACAGATATGCGGGACGATCTTGCTGTTGAAAATTCCCTTCATCATTACAACTATCTTGGTTTGTCGAAGGTCATAATTCGATGTACCTACTTTATATTTTCTGTAAAATCAAAACTTTGAATAACCCAGAGCTACTAGCTTTTCAATATTCATGAGTTTTAAAAATTTATTTCGTATTCTTTCTTGGCCTTTTCTTTTTATCACTACGATTGTAAGAATTGTATCTTGTGGAAACAGGCTAGCCAGTTACAAATTACCTTTTGAAGAATCAGTTACAAATTAACTATGAAAGATTTGTAATTGTAGTTTTAACTGGAGTTCCAAATGAAAAAATTTCCATTAAAGAACCAGTTGATTACACATCGTCCTTGTTTTTTCTATTTACTTTGGATTTTAGAAAAAAATTCGGTATCGATGTTGGACTATGATGTGTTGGACCCAGTCTTCCATTGTATCATCAATGATTCTGCAAGCTTGACGCCAGCACAGTCTGTCATTGCCGAAGAAGTTTTTAGTTTCATCAATGAAGAGATCATCAAGTTGAGAAATCCTTAAAGAGGTGAGAGAATTACTTTTTAAGGATATAATTGTGAATTTCTTTCTCTACTCATTTAAAAAGTTAATTTTTTCCAAGTGTATTCATGCTTCCGCAGGCACCAAAATGTGTTGCAGTTTTCAATTTTGCCTTAAACGATTCGCTCTGACGATTCGCACGCAAACTACCCTCCGATTTTTTCTTTAATAACTTATGACTCAAATCATCTATAGGACAGATTTCAGTTGCAAACATCACAACTATCATGGTTTTATTGCTTTTTCATATTTTCATAGATAAATAAAAATTCCAAATAATATAGAAGTTTCTTAAACTTGGACAAAACTGTGCGATCTATGAAAACAACTCTCCGATATTCCATGAAAAACTTTTAAAGCAAATTAACAAAAAAATAATTTGAAATTTAATCGATAAAGCTTTCTTTGCTACACTGTTTCTCATTGTTTGCAGGGGCGTCACTGCATATGTTTTTGCTACATAATGATACAAAATCTATTTGATTCTAAGACGCCAAATTTCTGCTTTGACCACATTTTCATAACTTGATGGGCTGTCAGGTTGTGGTTCTCCTACGGAAAAACCTCTCATCATACCTAGATAATTACCATAGGCATACTGTAAAGGAAAGAGCATCACATGTAAAATACACAACTCATTTTTTACAACAAACCTTCGATATGCACACTAGCATCCCACTTAACTCGTGGTTAGTCATGCAAGATGTTACATAAACATTTCTCAAGATGAGGGTATCGAAGGTTATCCTCAAAGCCATGGAACTTCTTTATGGGGACACCACCCCGCTGCATATTAAAAACATAGAAAAGCTTATGATATTTATTCTCAATCATAATCATTTTACCTTTAATGGTGAATTTTATTAACAAATTCAAGGCACTTCAACCCCAGGGTGCATTCCATGTCAACTGTGCGTCGAAGGTCCACTAGGGCATTTGCTTAGGTACGCCGAAAATATAAAAGCAGTTATTAAAACAATTTAAACATTGTTGCACCAGACAAAGAAAACTGATTATTAAAGAAAACTGTGGTGTATGAGTCTTTATTTTACGTTAACTATGTACATGGCTTCATGTTTAGCATGTCAACTAACGAAAATTTTAAGTACGCCATAAAAGTTTTATTGGTTTGCACGCCGAATGCCGAAAAAAACCTGGGTGTACGCCGAAGATCTTCGGGCCTAAGTACATGGAATGCACCCTGGGCTCAACCAAGTCTTTTTGCTCTAAATCATGTCAACATATTCATGACAATATAGTTAGTGATGACAAAAATAGAACAACATATCTTGAACAATGCCCCGATGGGGCGTGGGGCGTAGTCCAATATTTTGGAAAATATGTAACAATGATATAATTTTTATCTGGCCATACACGTTTGAAAACCTACAAAAATTACACAATACACCGATTTCATCCACACAAAAAAAAATTTGAAACAAACTACTTTCACAAATTTAAACTTCCTAGATGCGAAAATAAATCTACAGAAGAAGGGAGGAATCGCTTCCTCTTTTTAGGGACGTAGCTAGGGGGGCGTGTATGGGAGTGTAACACCCAATTCTTCATGAGTTTGTTGGTAAATTTGTAGTTGGTACAAAAATTCACTGGTTTGTCGGTAAAATCGTCTATCGCTAGGTCTCTTTATCTATGTCTTTGCCGGCAAATTCTTCTACTCATGACCCTCCACACTCTAGTCTGAACGGTCATTCTACACCACTGCCACTTTTTACAAAAAGCCAACAGAGATCTAAATCATCTCCCATTGCAATTCCTTCCACCCTTGGAGTTGAAAAACTGGAATCATTTCATCCATGCTTTATTTTTTAAAAGAGTTATATTTTAAATTACAAGCATTAAAAAAACGAACCTCATCATGAGGGGATATCGGATCAATGATATAAATCAGCAATCCGAAAAATTCGCGAGATTATCACAGTCACAAATGCTTAAACCGGACAGCAGGAAACAATGGCCTTACCCCCTCCCCCCCTCAAGTGACGCCCCTGGCAAGAGGTTAAAATGTTTCGAGAATATTTTCAGCGCCCCAAATATTGGAAGGTCAAGATTTTCCGAAAGCATCTTCAGTTTTCCCTTTTTGAAACCTCGGTTTTTTGCCCAACATATATTAACTCTCTTTCTCATTACCTGTTGCACTGTTTTTTCATTGCCTGCACTCGGATTTTGCACTTTATTATGCATTATATGCGTCAAAAGAACAGGAATTTTTCGTAAGTGCCATATCTGTATCAAACAACGAGTAATTAGGTCGTGCCAAGCGCCACCTCTTGAGTCGGTTTTCCTCTTCATTATAAGAGCGATAAGATCAACACTAGATTTTTTGGCAACAAAGAACTTGGTATCTACCTCAAAAAACGTATGTCGAATGAAAAGGATGGGTCAACCGCAAAATCATAGGGATGTAACGTAAGTCCATTAAAGCGAAGATACTGGCATTTCAGTCTCATTTATTTGGATAGACAGGGAATTCTGCATAACCATCTAGCAAACTGGCTAACCGATAATCTTGAAATGCAATTAGGCCACTGATCATTTTTTAGCCTTGGTAATATTTTGGCAATAACGAGAAGTCACGTTTCCGGAAGGGTAAAAATTGCACTGTCAACAAAATTTCGATCTTCGAATTTTCAAATCTGACGATTCCATCAAAAAGCGCTTGCAGAACTGAGCAAAAAATACCGAAACGTTTAGAAACTTTTCGTTCTATTGGTGGAAAACGGCTAAAGAATAGTGAGTTCTTCAGAGAAAAAAAATATCAAGGAGTTGATTAATTGATCTAAAGAAAACAAATGAGGAAATTCACGACCTTCAGATTATTTGTGAGCTTTAGAGTAGCTGCTTGAGTACGGCAAATTTCCCTTCTGTTTCGATAAAAAGCTTCAAATTTCTTTCGTAGCGTCTGGCCCCTCAAGACTGACCCCACCCTAATGCTGGCACGCTATATATCAGTGTATTCGGATTAAAATAATGTCCAATCAGCGTCCTAAAATGACGATACATATCGAATTAACCAATGAAACATATTAAGGCAAAGATCAAAGATCAAAGATTAAATATCAATAGAACTGTAAGAATCTACCGGATAAGCAATATATCAAAGGTCAGACGAACACATGAAAAATAAGTGGTAAAAACGTCCTTGCCTTTATAGTGTGGTGGAATTACGATTTTACCCGGACAAAAATAATATAAAGCTGTAATTTGGCACATAGGTTCCATACGATACTGGGAATAACCAGAAAAAAGTCCCATCAATTGGACATTGGGAATTCCTTATTTGGGCAAATCCCATATGGCGCACTGATCAGCAGGGGTTCAAATTTTGGTGTCGCTGAAACCACATTATATGTACATATTCTGAAAGACAGTTTCATGCTGAACAACTTTTATTCAACATACACGCCCTTACAATGTGGAAATAAGTACTTTCTGGTCAAAAAAGTAGATAGGGGGCAACTGGGCAATAGAATGTATACAGTGGTGACGCCAGGGGAGGGCTAGGGTGCTACAGTCCCTCCATTGGAAGCATCCAGCCCCCAGAAAATTTTAGGTTATTGTCGGAGCAAATTTGACAAAATAACGTACGAAAACTGCATATTATAGTCAATTTAGCCCCCCTGTTGGAAGCTCCAACCCCTCTGTCGGAAGATTTCTGGCGCCACCTCTGAATGTATAGAAGTTTATTTATGAACAACTTGTATATTAACAAGATCAAAACATGCGATGATGAAATCCTATCCAACAAGGAGCAGGTTAAGACCCCGTTTACACTGTCCCGGGACAATTTTGTACCGTTACGGTTCGCAAGTGTTTACACTGTCGCGGTTCCAAATTGTTCCGTTTAGCCGTTCTGTTTACACTGTACCGGTACGACCTTAATTTAATGGTAGAACATTGTTTAGAAGAAGCTGTATTTAGTCAACCAAGGCTTTTATTTTGCCGCTGAAGTCAACAATCGAATTTTTATTGTGAGTTAAATGGAGCGGAAGGCCGATTAAAACTTTACTTGGACGAAAGACAAGGTGGCTTTAATTTTCAGTGTTATTTTAGACTACAAAACTGCCAAGTTCAATCAAGGCTTGGACTGGGAAACACTACAAGCCTTTTCTGTGGTCGTCTTTTCTTCAGAATTCCCTTTTCTTCAGAATTTGAGAACGTAGTTACGCCACAATCAAAGCCTCGATTACCTGAAACAGCCATACAAAAGACCTCTTTGTGAATCCGTGACAAAATCGTCTCGGATAGGTGTTTACACTGTCCCGTTCAAAAACGGAACCGTGACGGTACAAAATTCGTTCGCTTTCAAAGCAGGGTCAAAACTGTTCCGGATAGCAGAGCAAAATCGTCACGGTTCCACAGTGCTAGTGTAAACGCAAGGGCGAACCGCGACAGTTTTGTCACGGTTCCAAACTTGCACGGGACAGTGTAAACGGGGTCTAAGAATCCCGCTAAACATTTTGAAATTTCTGCAATCCGTGTATTATTTTGAGAAAATCTGCGTCCGGCAAGTGTGTAGAATTCCCTCGTTCCGTTGAGAAATTGCCAGATTTCCGCAATCTACGACAAATTTCCCTAAAATTCTGTTCTTCCGCAAACACTGATGACATCTTCATTTGGAGAAAAATCTACCCTGTGCCTTGCAGACAAATATTTTTGTTCGTAATAACTGCGGGTACGAAGGTCTTTTAATGCAGAACACGGGAAAAGGTGAACCACGTTGAAGTATATATATTTGTCTCAGGATTTTCCAATTTCCAAGACCGGGTTTTCCGTTTTTTATAACCATTTTTCGGGTTTTGGGTCCTAGGTACTCTCAAAACACCCTCTTTTTCATGTGCGCACTTCTCAATTGAAAAGTTTGCAATTTTTGGGATTATACGTAATTTGGAAATTATCTCTTTTTCTGGTAAAGAAGGGCATAAAGGGAATATTGCTGGCCCAGCATCAAGCTGTAGTTTTGAGCAGCCACTTTGAATTTGCACTGAATTGTTTTTTACGTCTTAGTAACAAAAATTACTAAGATGAAGGATGTCAATGAAAAAAGTTGAAAACGGTCAGAATTGAAATCTTCATCTTAGTTTATAATGAAAAAATCATGTTGTTTGGACCGTTCGGTCGCGAGTTACTTTGTTTTGAATATTTAGATATTTCTTTAGATTTGACCGGAATTTGTTGCTGAAGTGAAAACATTTCACTAGAGTCAGCCCTGGCTGAGTGGGACCGAGTTGAGTCAGCCCAGGCTGAGTGGGCCCGGGTTGAGTCAGCCCGGGTTGAGTCAGCCCGGGCTAAGTGGGCCCGGTTTAAGTCAGCCCGGGCTGAGTGGGTATTATCATACTTTATCCTATTCACACACTTAATGATTTTGCATCGATAGAAATGATGTGAAATGAAAATTTTCAGCAAGAGGATCAGCTATTTTTCCGCACGCATGGTTTCCAGGTATCCAGGTAATCGTAGGTGCATAGTTTCCAGGTACCACTTTTGGCGACCTGTGGCTTGTGATTTGAGATTTCGTACAAAAGAGTGGGCCCACTTATGATCATTTTCTCCCGGCTCTTTTCTAGGGGCCACAAACCCCCTGTGTAAACGGGGCTCAAATCGTTGTCTTTCAATTTTGAGAAATGTTTGTGAACATTTGTTTTCTAGCCAAAGTCATGTCTGCTGAAAGTAATTCAAAACGTATGTCAAACAGAGGAGCAAGAAGTGTTAGTCATGAAAATGTTCTTATAGCTTGTTTGGCGAAAACAATTGATAACCCTTTCCATCCTGAAACAAACCCCGATGGAATTATAAACATCGGCACAAGTGAGAACAAGCTTGTCAAAGATATCTTAACAGAAAGGTTCTCAAAAGTCCGCCATGATGATATGCCTGACCGTTACATGGAGTGTGGTGGCAAGCGAGGACTTCCTGAGTTCAGACAGTCACTGGAAACATTTCTAAACAAGTACATGAAGCCAGCAGAGCCCTTCGAAAAAGACAATTTGTATGTGTACAATGGATGTGGATCAGCTATTGAGATGCTTGGTGAGCTTTTAAATATCCAATATAGGTATAGTTCTTTTATCCGTTAGGCCAAAACATTAAAGGCCCTACACTGTCTCATGTCTATGCCCCTTTTTTTTTGCCTATGCCAATTTTTTCCATTAATTTTTTATTCTACTGTTTCTTCCTCTAGAAATCGTTATCTTTGTCATCGTTACATATTCTTCTTTCATTCTTCCTTCTTTGCTTTTCATCCTTTTTCTTTTTCATTTTTTCTTTTGAGAACCCTTACTTCTTCGTCTCCTATCTTATCTTTTGCTCTATTCTATCATACTCTTTCTTTCTTTTCTCAACTTCTCCTGGATAAAAATCTTGTTGGTAAAACGGTTTTAGATACCAATTCACCGTTGACAAACACCCTATTGCACGCTGGCTAGTGTTTATAAAGACTTGATTTTATTGCTGTTTCCTTTTGATTTTAAAAGCATGAGGACAAAAAGAGCGAAACGAGCGAAAATTTTTGTAACCAAACTCTTTAGATTGGCTTAAAATATATTTCAGAGATTTTGTTGCAAGCTTTTTTTATGCAATCTCTTAAAACATTTACTTTTCTTTATAACGTTACTCTCCACTCGAGTTAGCAAATTTGATGCAAATTTGCACTTTTCTCACAGAACAAATTTTTGAACATTTGGGGGTTGATTGCCCCCCTCCTTTGCCCCCTATCTTCGCCACTGCAAAACCTGATAATGACCTTCTTTCCTTCCTGGATAATTTTCAGAGGAGACATGATTTTTACAGAACCAATCTTTAATTAGAATAAGCACCCTTGTAATTGGCCAACATTATTGGTGGTTCTGTCATCCAAATTTATTGCTGTTATTTTTAAGTAGTGTCTTACAAAATTGATTGGCATTTCAATTTTCCTCCCTTTATTTTGTTATATTTTATATCATATCATCTTTTACTATATGTTGATCATGTGAGTCCAAGAATTTTAACGATTTAAGAATGAATCCTTGATTTCATCTTTGGTCCCTCTTCCTTGGTTTTTTGACAAATAATCTTGTATATTTTGGAACCTTTAAAGCAAAAAGACGTTTTTTCGAGACAATTTAACTTCGAGACAATTAAACTGATGTTTACAAGTATTGCTTTTAGCATTCGCAATATGTGACGATGGAGACTGCTTGTTGGTGCCTTCACCTTATTATGGAACATTTGAAACATATGTCGAATGGCGCATGGGTGTCAAAATATATCCTGTAGATCTTTCAAGTGAGGTGAATGAAGCCTTTGGAGAAAGCGGGCCATTTGAATTGTCGGTAGGCAGGTTGGAGAAAGCTTACGAAAAAGCAAAGTCTGAGGGCTTCAATGTGCGTGGCTTGCTCATGTCTAACCCAATCAATCCTCTTGGCAAAATATACACAAAGAGCCAACTGGAAGGATTTTTCAAATTTGCCAACACAAACAATCTTCATTTCATTCTCGATGAGATCTACTTCTTATCAGTTCATGATGGTACTACTACCCCAGGTCGGAGTATTGTAGATGCTATAGACCCAAAGCTGCTTCATATTGTTTGGGGTTTCAGTAAAGATTTCGCAATTTCGGGATACAGATGTGGCTTGGTGCATACGGTAAACGAGGAAGTTGAGAAGGTTCTTAACGCAAATGCCAATTTCTACGGCGTTCCAACACCCATACAGTTCTTGCTGAAATCAATAATTGACGAGAATGACTGGCTGGATAGTGTTTATTTCCCAACAAACATAAAGAGAATGCAAGCTGCACGGAGCCATGTTTGCAAAGAGCTCACTGATCTGGGAATCTCATTTTTAGCTCCAGCTGGAGGGTTTTTTATTTGGGTAGACATGCGGAATTATGTGAAGCCTTTATCAAAAGAAGGTGAAATGAAACTTTTGAATGCATTCCTCGATAACGGCGTGTACATATGCCCAGGATTAGCATTTCATTCCAAGGAATCTGGCTGGTTTAGGATTATTTTCACGTCACCTGATGAATACCTTCTTCCAGCTATTCAGAGAGTGAAATACGTTTTACAGAATTTCAAAAAAAATTTCAAAAATCAGAAATACATGAATGAATTGTTTTTTAATTGGGTGACTAAATCATAGCGAGAATCGTTTGCTGTAATCAGGGTTTTACAATAGAAGAAAATATGTAAACTATATTACATCTCTTCGATGGAAAATTTGGATGCTTAAAATGAAACGATTTCAGTCGATGGTCTCAGCCCTTGAAGTGCTCAAACGAGAAAGGGCGAAGTAAAACTCAGGTCGACCTGAATTCGTTTCAGTTTTTCAGACCGGTCTGAAATTTCAGGTCGACTTGAAATCCACATGAGCCGAAATTTTTTCAAATCGGGACGAAATGAAACTTTTGGAGAAAAACAAATTACGCTTTGATATGCAAAGTACATGATGCATACTTGATGATTTTGGCGCCATTTGACCACTGATTTGACCAATGCCTGTATCTGCACGATTGTTTACTCGAGACATCAATTGAAGAAGCAAAATAAAATTAGATTGCCAAACTTAGACCAAAAAAGCCAAAATATTTTGTCAATACCTGATTTAAAATGATAATATTCTGTGAAATGATTGGGCTTTTTGACCTGAATTCGCAATAATGGCTCTGGGGCTTTTTCATGTCGGTTTGAGAATTATCAGCAAGTGCAGGACCCATGCCACGCGTTTGAATGTGAGGGGCAAAGGCTAGCAAAAGTAGGGGGCCAAGGCTTCTTTTCTATTTAACTGCGGCTTTAAAACTACTTCCTTTGCAAAACTCTGAGGGGGCCATGGTCAGCCCGGCGTCCCTGGTGGCGTTGACCCTGAAGTGGGAATCAAATTAGCATGCACCGTCAATTTTCAAGCCAGTCTGAGTTTTAGACAGGCCTGAAATTGTTGATGAGAGGGGTCCAAGAAAGAAGAAGTAATCGATTGTCTCGAATAACGAAATCCTATTCTATCAATATTTGTATCAACTTATAACATAGAGCAGAGCAAAAATGTTTTTATGCGCTCGCATGCTGACATGACCTCCCTTGCCTCGAAATACACAATACGGCACGAATCGTCATTATAATCGCGATTTGTTTTTGGTGGAAGAAATATATAGGGCCCCTAAGAGATGCAAAAAAGCAAGGTGGAGTTTGTGGGAAGACTTCCGATGTACGGCTCGAAATGATTGAAGACGACGAAGAAGTGAGGACACAAGTGAGAATAATGGCGTTCTGGTTACCTGATGAGAGAAATATTTCGCGCGTCGCCATTTGGCCTCAGCTTGCAGGCGCAAAAGCTCTTCGCACAGCAGCTGCAAACATTGTTGCTCTATGTTGCCACTTATAGGAAATCTGCTCAACTGGACTGCAATAGTTGTATCACAAAAACATTTCGTTTTCATAGCGTTTTTGAAAATTTTTATAATTCTCATTACTCACGCTACTGCGTTTTTTTCACAGAATATTTTTATTTTTGAAGTTTGCAGGGTAAAGGCCACAAGAGTACCAAATTGTGACGTCATTGAATTACAGTTAAAAAAGCCTTTAAACATGCCAAATCAGTTAGGTATATTCAAAATTGGCTAGGTATGTCCAATGAAAGATTTTAAGTATTATTCTGGCCTGGTACATAAGTAACGAACCAAGATAAAATTATAGATTTCATTTTCATTTCGTTTCATATATATTCTCAGGGACGAAAACAAGTTGCTAATTTTGGGGGGGGGGAAGGATGAAAATTCCAATCTAAGTAAGAAATTTTTCATTTGACCAGTAAATCTACTATACCTACCAAATTGTATTTGTAAATAGCCCGAACACCATAGTTCTATTTTCTTTATAATTACCAAAACTTTACTCAATAATTAGCCTAAAGCATAAAAGCCTAAGTCTCTAAATTTTGATTAACATGAAACAGACATTTAATATTAGATATACTTAATGATTAGTAGTATTCTTTCAGATCAATAGGGTCAAGGGCGTTAACAAATAACAGGGGGAGTTTAGCATAAACTCGATTTTTATAAGAAACATTGAGAATTTTTAGCACTGAAAGATTATTAATCTTTTATTGAATTAACTACTCGTAGTTTCCTAAAAAACTCCCACTCTAATATTTTCTGATCAATACGGGAATTATTATTCCAAACTATAAAGTCTCAAGTTTCTTATCCGGTAATTCACCTTGCCTGTTTGTAATTTGTTTCAACTCCCGTCAGAAAGAGAGCAAACGAGGCAATTCTGCAATTTGGATCCAGTAGAGATGGGATTCACAATAGAAAACGATTAGTGGATGGGTCAGCTTCAGCCTGTGAATTTCAATGTTTAGAATTTTTACATTTAAAATAAAAAAACTTCTTAAAATATAAAATTCACAAGTTTGGTCCTAAGAAAAAATTCCAAGTCAACCGTTAAGTTTTCCAACTGTAACTGGATTTTCCAAACTTTGGGGGGGCGTTACGCCCCCCACGCCCCCCTATTATTTACGTGCCTGTATATTCTCAGCATTAAATTATGTATATAGCAACGAAAGATGCAAAGAGCTCAACAGGGTATAACTACAATAGTGTTACAGAAAAATACGCATGAAAACATGTAATACAGACATACAGACATACAGAAATAACTCTTCAGAGCTTCGAGCTGTACGCCCTCGGTAACACGTGGTTGTTACGATTACGATTAAAAGATGCTAATTGAAGAAGCATATATGTATTAATGATCATGAAAACATTTCTTTTAGAAAATTACATGAAGGTCGGGCAGAGGAAAGAGTAGAAAGAATTGAAATAAAACGGAAAGATCAGTATGTTACCAATGGGTCCTTTTGATGAAGTCAGTAGTTTTGAATTAAAAATTTCTTATAACGCTTACAGAAAGATTTTTTGCTCGGGGAATTTATGATATTAGGAGGGATGTCATTCCACATTTTAACTCTTGTAGTAGATAAAGAAGTTGCCGTTTGTTGATTCCTGGGTTTTGTGGGAATGTGTACGGTCAAATCTAACTGGAGCTGCCTATAGGAGCAGTCGTCAAATTAATCCGTCAAACATTAATTTGGCACATTCAAGTGTGTTGGGAAAGAGCCTATGCTTATGTGGCCATATCTTAGCCAATTCCCTACTCATTCAACTGATTTATGGCGTTAAGATTTTTAGAAAATTCTCAACCGATGTTTTCTGAAAAAAACATTTTTTATCTTGCTAGCTTGACCATTCTTGACAGAAAGAACAAAAGATCTTTAGCATCATGCTGGAACAAATGCTACCAATTTGATACGTTTTCGAACAGGTTCAATTTTCATACACCTGTACAGAGGGATGTCGGAGAGAAAAGCACGGGAAAGGGGTAGCCGCCCCTCCTACCCTTTGATAGGAGGGACAAAGGGGACAAGGTGCCCTTTTCATAAACGTGCCCTTGGACTTGGCCTTTTGTAATTATTGAAGAGATTCATATGAAATCACGACTATAGTGCTTTTTCATGACTAAATTGCTCAGAACTCATACAAAAGTTTTCTTATGAAAAATGTTAGCCCATCAACAGATGTCTACAGAACATCGAAACAAAATGACAGCTACGAAAGAGTTAGTTGACGCTGGGATTTATTTTCAAATTTCCTTTTACTGAAGCCTGCCACCCCCCTTGCCTTTTGGTCGTTCCGGCGTCCGTGCATATACATCTACCTATTACCGAGGGACATATCATTCTACGAAAATCTCATACAGCTTTGCAAAAATCCTCTTTGTTTTCAGTAAAAGTCGCCGAAGTCGTGAAAATTTGCGCAGAAGTAGAGATTAGAAAGCTCTCTGCGAATCATTATTACCTTTTCGCTGCGAATTTAATCTAATTGTGAAATAAACTTATCAGAACAGCATTTGAAGACAGGTGACCTCTGTTTTGGTTCCTGATGGTCTGCGCCTTTCCGCATTCCTTTTCTCAAACTCTCTATCTTACACAACGTCAATGGAATGGGTTGGTAATTATTCATTTCATGTTCCTCGTACACACTCGATTCAAGTGGACTCGGATCAGAATACTATTTAAACATTTCAATTTCAAATTGTCGAAAACTGGCTTAAAGTTCTATCGTAATACCAATATTCTTCAAAAAGATGCAATGTTTTCTGCTTATTTGCCTGCTCAACAGCAACAGCTTCGCACATTAATCTCGCATGTTTGTGCAAGTTTAGATGGTGACATTCGAAAGTATTTGAAGATGTACTCCTGGTCATGTAAAAATTAATCTCTTACCGAAAGATGAAGTTAACCTTTCTGAAGACGTTCTGAATAAATTTTTCTAACCCAGTATCGCATTTTTCCTGCTTTGCTCGCTTTTTAAATAAAATTGAGAGTTTGAGCGTAGATACCACATTGATAATTTTGCACCACAAAAAGATTGTTTGAACAGCACCCTTCGTACGGTCGTTATATTCTTTTGCAATATTTGCAGCGAATTCGCATAGAAAATTTCTGCCATTGGGCTTTTAGGTTCGCATAAATATCACTTCAAGAGACTTTCATACCTCAACCAAAAGTTTTGATAAAGAAATTAAGGAACCTTCGTTGACACTGGATTTTTTTCCATTTTCAAGTTTTATTTGAGTTTCAAATTTGGTATTATCGTGTGCCTTGAAAGTTCGGCTACTTGAATGTGAAAAAATCGGAAAATGGATGTTTTCATCCAGAAAACGTTTACCGTTATAATAAGAGACCTTCAGTCATGCTCAGACTTCATCTATATATATCATTGTTTTGGCACATTTGTTGTGAAACTTTCCTATAAAATATGCCTATTTCACCCAATTCATGCATTCAAATGTTTTGTATTGTAAAAGTATTGACAAAAAGTGTCTCAGGGTAAATCATCAGCAACCTCTGCGTGGCAGCATGTCCTGGTCCTGCCCTGTTATGATCAGTCAATGATCCAGCGAACTTGATGCCAGAACAGGTTTTTCGCTGTCAGAAGTTGTATATCCATCAATGAAGAGGATCATCGAGTTGAAAAATCCTTAAAGAGGTTAGATAATTAATTTTTAAAGTTATAATTATGTATTTCTATCTACTCATTTGAAAAGTTAATTTTTGCAAAGTGTATCCAAACTTCAGCAGGTACAAAATTGTTTAGCAGTTTTCAGTTTCGCCTTAAAGCGTCCTGGTCACCATAAGATATGTTCAAAATGCAAAGTCAAAATCTGTTAACCTTCAGCTGAAATCTGCGACTGCGATCAACAAATAGGCCGTTCGACTTCTTGCTTTTTCAGGGCCGGCGAAACGTATTTTATCAACCGTCGTGTGGCTGCGGTAATATGGAGAAGTGGCTGCTGTTGCCGGTAAAATGGGGCAGTCTTCAGAAAATGCTTTAAACGCATGTTTTAGACAATTTCAATTACATTAACGAAAGATCGTCAAGAAAAAGTCTATTGAGTAAAATATCTCCCAGAGTTACTGTCGATTTACTCCTTTATTCACATTCAAAACATTCAAAAATCGATCTTCGCAATTCTAGCTCATTTAGGCCCGTTT